CTTAAACTCATTTGCCTGTGGGCGCCCATGCACCCCTTCCCATTTTTATTTTTAGAATTGAATCCTATCAAAATTTTTTTAAATTATTTTTAATTGATTACCTAAACACATTTGCCTGCGGGCGCCCATGCACCCCTTCAAAATTTTTATTTCTATAATTAAACTCTAGTTCAATTTTTTATTGACATTTTTTAAATTTTAACTACCAGTCGGTTCATTATAATATTCATTTTCTCATGATATAATTATTGTAAATAACTCTATGAGTTTAGGAATACTGATATTGTAGACTGCAGTCTTTAATGTTTATTTTAAAGCACATTTTTCTTATATTTTTTTTTTTGATTCTTAAAATCCATTTGCCTGCGGGCGCCCATGCACCCCTTCCCATTTTTATTTTTAGAATTTAATCCTATCAAAATTTTTTCAAAATTATTTTTAATTGATTTCCCAAACTCATTTGCCTGCGGGCGCCCATGCCGCCCTTCCAATTTTTTTTGTAAATAGCATAATTATACGCCCTTGTGTACAAACATTTGAGCTTGACGGTATTAGAAACCTGCGATACCGGACTGGACTCGATCTCGTCAATACGCTTTCAACGACGACACACGACAACCGCTCTCGATTCGAGCTTCTCAAGTACGATCTTGCCTGTCTATGCGTTTTTAAAGATAAGTCCGTGCACGACATCGATAAATACCAAATATTGTAAATTATTATGATTTATTACTAAGGCACAATTCACATTCATTTCAAAGTAATTTTGGTTTTTTTTAAATTTCATGAAAACATTAATTCACAAACTAAACTCGGAATTCCGTTATGCTTTTAAAATCACAGAAATTGGCTCTAAGCTATGCCCTTCAATTTTTAAGTCCACAATTTAGTTGATTGATAGTTAAAAATATTAGCCTTTAACAATTTAAAAATAACACTTAACTTTTGTTAAAGCGAGTAAAAAAAATCTAAAACTGGATTTTGTAATAAATTTAAAAGTTACTAAGATTTCAAGCTGAACATATCTACGTAAAAAAAAATTAAATCTTTAAGAAACTTAAAAAATACTATACTACATTTTTACTTACATAAAGAAGGTGTATCCGAACTCCGAAGTGTATCGCGTTCTAAGTATTCCATCCTCCAGTTCGGGTTAGAAAAGTCTGGCTCAGATACATACTTTTTTACCGAACAAGGTGTTGCTTGTTTCATCCCTGTGTGGTTCCTTCTTTGTCCGTTCGGTAAATCTAATCTAAGGAGTGGTCTAATTGTTTTTAATCCTTAAGTTTACACTATAAACACTATAAACAGTAAACCTAGATGGACGTACTATTGTTAACCAGTATTGTCGAACATAGTTTAGTAACTGAACAATTCGGTTCAGCTAGTATGCCCATAAAAGTTGCCAGCATTGTGATTGCCAGAAAACCCCCAAGAATATGGAAGTCTTCGAGAAATTCTGGAATCCGTTGTGGTAACAAGTGTGGTAAAGCCCTAATCTATATAAAAAAAAATGTCAATATTAATGTAAGAATTTCTCATATCACCAGATCCTAATCCGTCAGTCATTGCAGATTGTTATAACTTATTACCATTTTCACTATTGCGGCAACATGATGATTTTCGCTCAATAATGTCACCATGGGTCTGGACAAAACGTAAAATTTCCTGCAAACAATTGTACATTTGAGAATATAATTTCATTATTGACTAAGGTAAATAACAATAAATACTGAAATGCCTTAAAAATATTAGTTAAAAATCCATTTTTTTAGATACCATTATTTTTTTTTATTTCATTGCAAGTTTATTAGGTTATTATTAATAGATTGGTATAATTTATGATTTGAAATATTTCTGATGGTACAAACAATAATTATGATGTACGCAATTAATGTTTTATTGCATTGTTTAATTATAGTGAAACTTAAAAAATATGTATATTATATACATATGGGGCCTATAATACGTTGCGAACATAAAACAAGTGAAATGTGATGTATCATAGAGTATTTGGTATTATATTAATTGATTTGACAATATTAAAACTGAGGTAATAGGAGAAACAAATATTAATTATTAACGTAATTGTCTTTTCAAATTACAATAATGAGAAATGTAAGTGCAAGTTTCTCATGTTATTATGTTCTATAAATATTAACTGTTCATACCTTTCCTAAATACTTGATACCATATTAATGAATTCTCCTATAAAAACACATTTTCATACCGACTTAGGACTACTGCAGTTACACAACATTTTAGGTTATAACGTAGATACAACAAATTTCTTTTAAGTAAACATAGGACTTAAAAGGTGTGCATTTATTAATCGTAATTTCTGATATTATGAAAAGTGACCCTCTTACTACTTATATCGTCGAGTACCCCTAAACCATCGCACATCGACCTTAAGCAAAAGCTATACCAAGCGTAAATATCGCAGAACAAAAGAAAGTGTTGGTGCCACCAACTTGGTGGGGCAGTGGGTCGAATGATTCAGTTTTAAAGTGTGTCCTAACCCTCAATGGATAGTACAGTGCTAATATAAACATTAATGTCAACGCAATTCAAAAGTGAAAAAAATATAAAAAATTCAAATTTTTTTGCATCAAAGCATTGATTGTCGTTCACACATAAAGATAAACCCAATTTGGATGATCAAAATACAATCCTTCTACTTTAAATTATATTATTTTAATATTATTGTTATAACGAACACTGTGGAATAATGTATTCTCAATTCTACAGTTTAAAAAATAATGCTCTTATGATACATTGACATACATGCCCATAAAGAATATCGCAATGGATTCACTCGACATTCACAATAATATTTCGTCCGAATTCGAGATCCGGTCACTGTCCTCCGCCAACTCGATGCATCAATAGTTTTTAATGAGCTGAAATATGCTGGCCTGACAAAAATCAAGTTGGAAAGTCGTGATTTCACCACAGGTATTGTAGTGCATATGACTTCAGCTGGTGATACACCCGTCATCGTGGATTTGAACTAAAACGAACCCGCCGTTGCACCTGGCCAAGATGTCACTATCAACGACGTCTACATAATGATAATATATATTATATTCACATGTCATGTCCCGTCTTCTGCCTCGACCAAGTGTCAGCCATGTCGCTATGTTGCGACAGCCGTTTTTTTTATAGCATCACGAATTATTTTATTAATTACGCTGACGGTTTATGACCGTTTTTGTTACATGTCCGCCTTAGCCGTAAGTGTTATCTACATTCGTATTTTGTTGTGGCACATTCCGCCTTGAGCGTCACTGTAGTGCTCCCGTCGAATTTCTTCATTTTATCAGCTTGTATGTAGTATGTCACGTTTGTTTGCGTTCCGTATCGCTGTGTTCTTGCACGCCGTTGTTATGCAATGACAAGTAATCCGTCCTTTTCCGTCCACGCATCCCATATACCATGGTTTAGTGGTATACTATACTGTCGTGTTACGTTTTCGTCCTTTGTCGAGTCGGTGACGGTGTAACAGGATAGTCATGGTATCGTCCCACCGAATTTCATTAAATTATATATTTCTATACTCATGTTTGTACTCATTTCTCATTATCACAAAAAGAAAAAGTTACCAATTACCACTCATAACTGGCCCATATTTTGAGTGGCCCACCGAGATTTCCTCGGCAGCTTGCCGATCCAACCATTGCCTGAATTGTTGAATGTCATACAATTTTTCTTCTGATGTATCCCGGGCGTTTTGTTTCATGCGAGGGTGTCAGCCTAATATCTGCCCGCGAATCACGATACTTATTGTTACTACATACAACATATTACATTTAATTATTTAAATATTGGTTAGTGGTTACATAAACGATAGACAATTTATTATATTACTACGAGGCATTCCTTGCTTCTGCGACGAACCGCGCGTTTTTGTTACCATATTTTTGAGGGCCACACTACACGCTCTTTGCTGACCGCGATTGGATGACCGTGTTATTATATATATTTATAATATTAAAATAGTGATCCGTCCAAAGTTAGATTATAATATATTATCGCACATGCAGTAGGAAGTGCAATCGTGCATTATTTATGCTTGATCCTATTCTGTGTATTACAACGTGCCTTAGGTAAAAGCGGATCCAAGTCCCTCACCGACATAGGCGTAACTTGGACTCTATTCACGAGGAGGCAAAAATAATTTTTGAGGATCTCTACGCATTTTCATAATCTTATTTAAATTTAATATTTATTATAAAACTGTTTTATCATTTTACCACCATTTTTCATTTAACTCATTTTAAGCAAACATTTTTTTATATACCTATACGGTAAGTTTTATACCAAACAATAATAAAATGACTACTTATTTCTTTTTAAACCATAATTAATATTCATAATTTTATAAAAATTAAAAAGAAACTTTGTAGAAAACAACTTGTTTTAGGTTTTTATATATTTTTTTTTTTGCGTGTTTCTGTCGTCACGGTTTCGGACAGTACAAGTCCTACTCGGGTAGGTACTACACTACTACATCTATAATTAGTATTTAAATAAAATGTAAAAGTGTACGTGTTTTAAATTTACAAGCACTCATTATTTGTTGTTATTGTACAATATTATTATATTAAAATATATTCCTATAAATATAATATAATATATAATTTCTACTTATTAACATACATTTGCGTTAGAGTCAATTACTGTTTTTGATAAATTATGTGCTACCAACAAAGCTTTGGTATTATTTTCGATAAGCCTTTTGATAGTTGATGTACAAAAATTTATTATTCTTTAAAACTAAATTATACAATAATCTTACAAATATATAAATAAATATTACAAATGAAACATTTTTAAAAAACAAACAAACAAATTTTGAATTTTGTTGAACTTATTATTTTTATATTATAATTAAGGTAATTGCAATTTTTCTTATTCATAGATATAACCAATAAAATTAAACATGAAATTCTTTTAAATGTTTCAGCACATTAGGTGCTATTACAAGTACGATTACGATTTAATATTTACATTTATGTTAGTAATTACCGTGAAATTCTTAAAATACTACTTATGAAATCAATTTCCATTTTCAATTTGCAAAAATATTTTTTTTTTAAATACAATTTCCCTGGGTGATTGATTTACCTAACTTAAAAATTAAATAATATCATTTCACTGTCCAGCAAGTTGTCCATATTATTCTATTGATAAATATCCGATCTTTGATTACTGTACATAGTTTGTTGGATAATATTATTACTTTTTACTTAACTCTATATAGGATTTAGATGATTTTTATTTATTGTCATTTTGTTATGTCAACAAAATAATTTTTTTACATTATTTAAATTGAAATTTCATCTATTAAAACGAAAAAATGGAAATAGTGACTTCTTGGATAATGGATATTTCCATTCTTATAAATAATTATTTTGTATTCAAACCTAGTTTACTAACTTAAGACTTATATTAATGTTTGAACTAGAATTAAGTGATTTGAATTAATTTTGTATAATTATGATAAGAAACAACTCATCGAATATTTGATTAATGATTCCACAAATTTAATTTTTCGGGGATCACAAACAAATGAACAAGTTGACTTATGATTCTTATGATCAAAAGATTCACTGAATCAGTTCATCAAAGTAAACATGTCCTAACTTGACTACTCAACAATGTTTTCTTCAGTTCATACATCTTAAGTTATATTTTGTTAATTTAATCTAAAGGTAAATTTTTTTTTTTTTTGTTTGTATTGAATGACAAACCTTAACTCAAAAATATATATAATTGAACGGTTTTTGTGAAAAGGGAATCAAGTCAATAACAGTAATTGTTCGGTAGACAACAAAAACGTTTCATCTTCTACATTTAAATAAAAAAAATTTGAAACTATTAATTTTATTTATAACTTCGATAAAATGTATGATGATGTACATAAAAATACTTTAACACCATTTTTTAGTTATTTTTGTTGACTTGATATCAATAGCACGAACGTTTATCGTACTTTACGACTTGATACCATTAAGTGCAAAAAGTATCAAGTCGTATTATGCAACAATATTTGTGCTATTGGGATCAAGTTAACAAAAATTAATTTATAATTAATAATTTAATTTGTTTTATAATTTAGTAAAGTTGTTTATTACACATACATTATTTTGCAATATATATATTAAAGTTTCCATAAAACAAATAACTAATTACTGCATATAATAGTTTAAGCTCTCTGAAAAGTAACTCAAAAAATACAAAATATTTTAATAATAATATGTGCAATGTACATAATATTATATTAAAAATGGAATTGAATAGGTACCTAAAGGTTGATCATAATTATATTTATCTAATAAAGTTTATATGATATATTTTAATATAAGTAAATAATAATAATAATTAAGAATATAGTACTAGTAGGTAATATATTTTGACTGATTTTAGGTTTTATTAAAATCATAATGCCTTTTGGGTATAATTTATTATTAATTATAATATCAATAACATTTTGAATGTAAAACTTTTAAAAATAAACAACTACTTTTAAGATAAAATAAATAGTAACTTTTAGTATAAAGAATAATCACTTTGATAAAATAACACAAAGTATTAAAATAACATAAAATAAAAACAAATTGTACAGAAGTTACATCATTCATTTTCTTCATCAGATATTATAGGATCATTTAATATCTATGTTTGGTTTCAGG